TGCTATAAAAGTAAAACTGCAGAGGTATATCATAAACGAGTTTATCAGTGTTTTCCACTTTACAACATGAGTTCCTGGAGTTTCTATTTTTGTTGAAGATGAAATTAAGAAAAAAAAATCTTATCCACAAAACAGGTAAACCTCCATGTGATTCAGAAATCCAAAGCAATAAAAAATTGTTCCAAAATCTATTTTAAAGACTTATAACAGCAGAAAAAGGCAACAGGAATAGAAAAATAGAAGAGACGATCTAAGTGTTCCTTTACAAAAGCCTTCTAAAAATTTCCTTACCAATTAACTCTAAAGCTGAGGTTGGGGATTTGAACAATAAAAGTCTTAAAGTTATGAAAAGGCAGACATTAAAATAAAAAAAAGAACAGATTTCTTCAATGTACTGTATATCTAAAGGCTAGAAATAGGACTGGTGAGGTGAAGGTTACAGAGATAGATTTCTGTTTAATGCAAGAATGATCTAACAGAACGATCCGACAAAGGAACAAGCTGCTTCTCTAAGTAGTATCCCCATAAGCACTCAAAAGCTGGGGTTGGATGACTACATTCAGGAGAAGTGATTTCTGCACTGAGTAGAAAATGACACTAGATGACCATTCAGATCTCTTCCAAAGCAAAAATTCAATGATCCTACAAATATCACTGTCACAAAGACCTAAAACCAAAGTACCAGTTAACTGGAGGGAAACCACACTACTATAACTGGGCTCCTAAGAGCCAAAAATGACTATTAGAGGCCCTGGAAATAATGTAATTTACAGACAATACTACTATAAGAAATACCTTTAAATGTTTATATTAAAATAAAATATAAAATCTAAGTAAGGAGAGAAGTTATATTCATAATAAATCCTAACAAAATAGCCTCATATACGTGTACAAAAAAGAAAATGTTAAATGTTTTTATAACATTTTTAGATAAAAATAATAGGTTTTTAAAAAACATTTGCTCATTTTTTAACCTAAAAATATTCTTTAGCATACTAAAAGCTTGAACAAATAATCAAGTTTCAAATCCCACAACACTTAGACTATGGCTTGTCTAGCTTCTGGGTTTTAGTTTCTTCATATATCAAATGAGGATGATAACAATACCTACAAAACTAACCTCACAGGATTGTTGCCAAACTGATTTTCTAAAGCACAAATCTGATCATATTACTCCTCTATTCAATAAACTCCAGTGACTTATGATTACCAGCTAGGCAACTAGGTGGCAAAGTGGATTAAGCACTGGGCCTGGAATTAGGAAGATCTGAATTCAGATATAGTCTCAGACACTTAACTAGCTGTGTGAACCTAGAAAAGTCACTTAACCTTGTTTTGTTTCAGTTCTCTAACCTATAAAATGGGGCTAATAATCATACCTATCTCCCAGGGCTGTTGTGAAGATCAAATGAGAAAATAATTGTAAATCACTTATTAACACAGTTCCTGACACATAGTAACACCATACAAATGTTAGTTACTACTACTACTACTGCTGCTGCTGCTGCTGCTGCTGCTGCTGCCACCACACTACCACTATGACTATAACCCGATTCAAATATAAACTCCTGTATTTGGCAATTAAAGGCCTTACAATCTGCCCCAACTTTCTTTTCCAGTCTTATTACCCATGTAATTCTCTCCATGCCAATTACTACCCAAACTGGCCTTCTTGCTTGACTGCTTCTCATTCCCAGCACCCCGCTTCTCACTCCTGTGCCTCTGTACTGGCTGTCCTCTCATGCCTGGGATGTATTTCTTCCTCATGCCTGTTTCTCAGACTCTAAAATTTCCATGAAGCACCACTTTCTACAGTAAGCATTTCCTGATTTCTCCAATTCCTGGTGCCTTGTCCCATCCCATCATGCTGCATTTATTTTACATCTATTTTGATCTTTATATAAAAGCATACTGTTTCCCCTAAAGCTAAGATATAAATTCTATAGGGGCAGAAACTGTTTTCACTTTTATCCTTGTCTCCTCACCATCTAACACAGTGCCTCACAAAAAGTTGGCACCTAGTAAAAGCTCAGTGATTAATTAACTGATCACAGGATATAACAGTATTTTTAAAAGCTTAAATCACAATATAAATGTCAGTTGTTGTGGCTGTTGTCAGTAAATGTATTAGGATTAAAATGGCTCCATCCTGCCCACTCCAAACCCCCCCCCCCAAAAAAAAGAATCCCAGGATCACAGATTTAAAGCTAGAAGGAGCCTTCGAGGTCATTATTTAATGAGGTCATTAAAATCAGTAATGGCTTGTTGACTTGTGCTTTCCATCAATGAATATTCATTTCAGAAAAATGAAAATTTAAGTAGGAAAAAAGTTCATTTACTTTTAATATTAGTCAACCATTCATAGAAACAAACTAACCAATAATTTTAGAAAAAAAAAGTCACAATTATTAGCTAAGACTATATAGGAGGAAAAAATACAACCCAAATCTAGTACCATACATAATTAACAGTACAGTATGGAGTTATTATTTTGTAACAAAAAAAAAAAATGAAGGCTATTTTAATGATTTATGTCAGAAATAAAGTTGAGATTTTCACTGCTAACTCAAAACATACTACCTAAGGGATTCCATAACAGTCCATAAAACGTCTTTGTTTTTAAAAGCTATTGCCTGTGGTATATATTTTCTCTCAAGAAATAGAAGAACATATGTAGCATCAGATGTGTGTACTTTAAGAAACTCTGGAATGTGAAATTTAAAAATCCAAATAAAGCAGGTGGTATAATTTGGGGGAGGAGTGGGAGAAAGGTAGGGCCATGGGACAAGAATGATTTGAAGTTTAATGACATTACCAGGCTACCTTATACAACTAATTCTCACTCACTGCATGACTTCAATGAAGCTCTCAGTCCTCGTGCTGATTTCGATTTACTCCAAGTGCTATTTGATGTGTTTCATCTGGTGTTTTATTCACTTCAAACTACACTTCATTTAACTGAGTCGTTCTATCATTGTTTTCTGTCTCTTATTTTCAAAATAAATGTTTTTTGTTTAGATACTAAGTTGTTGCAATAATATTGAGGAAAAACAGATTTTAAAAGACATTAAAGAGCAATAGGTTTGTTAAAAAGGGGTCAAAAGATTATTGGAATAATTTTGAGGTACACTCACCTATGGAAATAATAATCAAAACACCTGCCTCAGAGTCAATAGCATTCTGTAAACTTGAAAAACTAATTTTTTAATTTATCCTATTAATAAGTTTTTAAAGATTTTATGGGAAAACATTCTTAATCACAAGTACCAGAATTTTATTACCATGCTTATTTTTTACATAGCATTTTAGAGTTTGCACAGCACTATGCATTTTCTCATTTCTGTCTCATACAAATAATAAAGTTTAATTTTGTAAATCCTCATAGACACAATGATTATTACATATAAATACTGTATTTTAAGTATTAAAAGCCTATAAAGAATATTTCAGTTTAAAAATACCACTAATATACATATAGAAAATTATATAGCACTGCCTTGAGATAAATCTGTGACAGAGTATATTTACGAGTATAGCTAATAAGTATATTTACTGAGTAGCTACTTTAGAACATGCTTATTTATTTCTGAATAAACAGAGTACATGTTCCAGGCCATGTCTTGATAGACCAAGAGATAACATTTGATTCATATGAAATATAGTATGCCATACACTCAAAGATGCAATTAAAAAAAGTAAAACCAGTCTCCACCCTACATAATGAAAGGCATATGAGGAGTAGTGATGAGAAGTGTGTAAAATAAGATACTTCAAGAGAGACTAAACATATGAAAATGTACAAGACCAGTATATTTTGATAAAATAAAAAGTGGAAGGGAGCAGCAATTTATCAAAGTATTAAAAACATGAATTCAAAACATTAGGTTTAACAGTTAACTTACGAAATTTTTATAGAACTGGTATTGGTAAAGAATTTCTTAGAGAGGTAGTATGTGTGTTCCACTAAATCAAGCTACTTCAAAAATGTTATGCTCATTTATGCACTATTACATTAAATCATTTTCCCATCAGAATACAGTACTTTGGGTGGGGGGAAAAAAAAAACTGATAACTCCTGAGGAATTAGCATTATTTTTCATAAGACATAATAAAAATACACCATAAAAATTCAATTACCACCACGAGTGATGTATTTCATATGAAAAAAGTTCATTCATTAAGAGTATAAAACAAAGACAAGTCATTCTTCAAATAATTCATTTATCAAACCCAAAATATGTAACAAATTTATAATTACATGCTTTTGAAGCATGTCACAATTTATAATTACATTCATTACATATTCAAAAGAATCCATCACTAGGCAAGAGACGCAAAATTTTTACATACACAGAAAGATGAGAGCTTATTAATATCTCACACATAAAATTTCAAAATGAGAAGACTTCATTCAAGTAGCATACAATCTAAGTACTAAATTAATAATAGATAAGTCATTCCAGAAATAATTCAAATGACAATGAATTGGACATCTCAGGAATATTATACTCTGTATACCTATACCATCAGGATTATCAAGTGGGTAAATAAATTATTCAAGGAAATGAATAGCTAACTAGTGAATTACTGGGTTTCTAATATCAGGTAGTGGGTTCTTATCTTAGAAATAAGTTTCATCTGAAAAATAAAAGCAAGAATGAGAACCAGTACATTCTGAAATAGAAATATTTTTGGAAGTTTCTTTTAAGCATCCTATCAATGTCAGGCACAAAAAGTAATACCAACTATCAGTTCTGATCCTACCAATAGGTATCATTATTTAAAAGTTCATTATTAATTTATATGCTTGAGAGATAACAGCATGTTTTGAGGTTCTCAGAACAAAAGGTGTAACTTACACAAATTTCCCCTGTTCTGAAGTGATATTTCTTAAACTGGAATAACATAAAAATATATTTGCTTTTCAAAGGCAGAATAAGTGAAAAGTAAAATAAGCCATCTCTTTCTCAACGTTACACATTTTAATAAATCATACTTACCAACACATGGGGAGTTTCAGCAATTTTCCATAAATAGCAATGCTAAAAGAGGGAATAAGCGGAACAGGTAAGCAGTATGTTCCTTTACTATCCAGAAAGGTCAATCCTGCCTGGAAACCAAATATCTGAAACAAACAGAAAAGATCCAAATGTTGATGGAGACAAAGTTTTAATAAATACAGGATAAAGCACGTCAGATTCAACTTTCTGTAAAACAGCTGCACATTAAATATTTTCCAGTGCCTTAACCATCCCAATTATCAAACATTTCCTTTGACTCAACTTGACAATTTACTCAAAACCAAAATTATGAAATTTTTAAATTAGCCAATAATACTTCTATCAAACCTCTGAAATACTCTTTGTAAATATTTGTTTTGATCCTAGGATTTTACTATTACATATATGTGTGTCACATGTTTAACTACACATCAATTCTGATTTTAAATGTTTTCCATCTATCTACTAAAATATATATGTATATATATATATATATCACTCTATGTCTTTGATTACATTTTATACTTCAAGTCAAGTACATTAGTTATTATTAATCTAGTTTATGATTAAAGCAAATCTGAACAAAATCTTTCAGGAGGGCATCTAAAACAAAGCTATGTCTTTCATTTCTATTTCTTTCATCTGAATCATGAAAGATATTTCATGGCATAACGTAAAAATACTGCATTTTGTTTTCACTTTTCTTTTCAATTAATTGTAAGGTTGAGCTCTTCTAACAAACTCGGTAAATTCCACAAAGGGAGCCTTCATGTGTTTACACTTAAAACGAAAAGATCATACTAAAAATATTTTAAAGCATTTGATGGAATTTTTGAACATTATTTTGACTTTCTGGAAGAAAGAAGACAATATAATATTTGAAGTAAAACACTGCAAAGAATTAAACCTGATATTTCTTTTCCAATTATTTCAAATAAAGTAGAAAATAAACATTTCACAACAGGAAAAAAAAGGACACACAATTACAGAACCCTGATTTACTGCTTCAATATTACTTTAAAAAAGAGTATAGCCAGGTCCTTATCTTTTACTTACTATTTATAATTCACTCAGTATAAAGAGCATGCAAATTCCACTACTGCTAATGATTATTCACTACAAAATTCTTCACTGAAATACAGATTTTAACTTGTATACAGATCTTAACTTGTTTAACCAACTGTTAACCAATTTTCCAAAACACTACTCTTAGTAAATATAGTCACCATCTCTTACTTGTAACCACATTACATTACTATGTATTTTTAGAAAATCAGTATGTCTGAAAGATTTCTGAAATTGATAGTTCCAATTCCTTTCTTTCAAAATCAGTACTTCAGGGAAAGAAATTCATTTTTGGAAACAATATTTCTAAGATATATTTTCAAGAAAAATGTTGTTTTTTTTATATCAATTACCGGGTGGGATATGGGAACTTGGTCTTGCCAGATAACTATAGAGACAAATTCTCTCAAGAAACTAATCTTAACAAAAGTTAGAGTATTCCTCTTCCACATAACTCCCTCCCAACAAAATGTGATATTCTAAATGATCAAATTAAGAAACTCATTTCAAAAATCTAATCTCCTCTAGAATGTTACTTCTTCACAGTTATGAACTGTTATATAGTTAAGAATTTTATAACAAAATGTTAACTTCTTCACAGTACTCTTTCTTCATTAAAATTTCCAATTCAATCAGTAAATATTTATTAAGCAGGAGATGATCCTAGGTACTAAAATTTTCTTGCCTCCCTCCAAAAAAAAAATTCCATTAGACACCACAATATATTTACTAATACTTCTTATACACTGAGTTATTCTATAGATCCTGATAATGAATAATGTCCACAATATAAGTATTATTTTATATATCACATAACAGTTTTCTAACTATAGGAACTTTTTACCTAGGATCTCACACATACCCAACAATTTGATGATGCAAAATTAAATGTATTATTTCATAAGATACCCCTATTTATTCATGGATATTATAAAAATAACTGAGGGAGATACCCTTTTTATCTTACGGAGCTGTAAAAAATGTAGATTATTTGGACACAGCAGATATTCTACGGTTTTATTTTTAATTTTTACTATATCTGCATGTTGTCTAGCAATGCTTTCATAAGTATATTGGACAGCAGGTATAAGATAAAACAATAACAATTTTTGATGCAAATGACCTAAGACATTTAATTTGGGATTCTATTAAACAAAATACTCCAACTCCTGCCTAGGAAGAATATTTCTACCACTACTCTCCCCCAAATTTTTGTAAAATTACAAAATGCTTACAAATACATAATACATCTATAAAGATATTGTGCAAGCCAAAGGAAGATTCAAAAGCCTGGAGTGCAGGGAACTTCCAGTGACAAAAATCCCTCTTCCCACACAAAACAGTAACTATTTTGCACTGTATAATCTTAGAGAACTGCTGGGGGCACTAACAGATTAAGTGACTCACCTAGAGTCACAAATATGAGCTCTGAGTCAGTCTGCAATCATCCCGACTCTCTGAAATTGACCCTCTTTTACCATGCCATGCTGCTTTTAATGTTGTTAAATTTAAAATCTCAAAATCCAGCCCAATGTCTTCATTAGCATAAGGTAACGGCTCAGCTAGCCAAAACAGCTTGTGTGAGTCATGAATTTGCCAGCAGTTCTAATAAGACTACAACTGTTCAATCTATAAAAAGGAAAATTAAAGGCTATTTCTTGCCAGTGGGCCCAGATGGCTCCAGAGGAGAAAGTGAGGCTAGTAACTTTGCACAGCCCTCCTCACTTAAATCCAATTCACCTGCAAGTGATGGTATCCCCTTTCTGATGTCACGGTTCTCTTTGAGAATAAAGGACAAACAATAATTATCATTATTCAAAATGAATGACTAGCACTTTTATGGACACAGAAAAGCGTGGTATCTACATGTAAATGAATATAACGTTTCGACCACATCCACCAGGAAGGGATAATGAAGATGATCATGATGATGATAATGAGGATGATGACAATGACAACAACAATAAAACAATAATTTCTAGCATTTACATAGTGTTTTAAAGTTTGCAAAGGACTTCACAAATACTACTCATTTTATCCTCAAAAGAACCTTGGCTGATAAGATGTTACTTTTCTTCCCAATTTATGGAAGGCACACATGGGTTAAATGACTTACCCAAAATTACTCAACTAGTATGTTTTAGGCCATATTTGAACTCAGGTCTTCCTAATTCCATGCCCACTGTTCTCTCTGTTATATCACCTAGCTATTTCTGTCAATGGCATAGCCATACTTGTAGTCAATCACTTTCAAAATACTGGAATCACCCTTGATCCCTCCCTTTTCCTTCATTCTACATATCTAATCAGTTGTGGAGTTTGGTCATTTCAGTCTCCAATATATCCCTCACAACCTTTCTCTCAGCTCATTTCACCACCACCCTAGTACTGGTCCTGGATGGATAGATTCTTTGAGGAAAGAAAGAAGAAAGAGAGAAGGAAAAAGGGGAGGGGAGAGGAGAAGAGAGACAGAGACAGAGAATAAGGAGGTGGGGAAGGAAAAAGAGTCATGGAAAGACAGAGACAGAAAGCATTTATTACAAGAAAGTGCAAGAAAAAAGATAGTCCATTCTGTTAAAGAGCTTACACGCTAATAGCATAAAAAGACACATAAACAGGAGCTAAAAAGCCAAAGGGTATAAGGGTGAGCAGGGAGGGTAACTGGGTGGGCATTTCCTCAAATGGAGATTACAGGCAAGAATTAACCAATGAGAAGAGAGGGCCAGGGTAAAAAGGTAGCTGGAAAGGAATTGATAAGTCCAATAAATAAAGAGCACTTGAAAAAACCTCATTCTTTTCTGCCTCCCCTCCACTCTTTTCAAAAAGATTTGTTAAATCATCAGCATCACCACACCTTTTTTTTTGAGGGGGAGGGGGAGAATTGGAGTGATTTAGATCATCCAAACTGCACAGTTCATACTCTGTAGAATAACAGGGTCTCCTCTGCAGAGCCTGTAAACTGTGTCAATATAACATCATTAATTCATATACACCTGGGGAGACCAAGCCTAGAAATAGTCTTTATAATGGCTTATTTTCATTGCACCAATTTATAAACTTTTAAAAAGTTTAAAACACCAAAATATATAAAGTGAACCAATAAAGACAGGTGATCTATTTGTGTAGCCTCCCAATCTCTCAGTAATTTACCTGAAGCTTAGAGCTTTCAAGTAGTTTTTCTTCAATTTACTGTTTGTTTTTACAGTTTCCTCTTCACATAAAACTGGCATTTCCTTAGGTATACACTGTCTCTGCTTAGACTATACATCTGTGTTTGCTTAGCAAATAAACTCAAGTGTTGAGCAATAAATGTATCTTTTTATGCACCTGCACTGGGATTGATTACTTGTAATATAAAAGGATTGTAACAGAGAAGAGATTGGCCAACAGTGACCACCCCCAATAACACTTCTTTTACAACCTGACTTAAAAGGATTATAGAAAGATTATCCCTTTGCCTTAAGAAATTAACATCCACTAAATGAGGGGAGAGGTGGCTGAAAAGTAAATCCACGGGCCCTTGAATAAAAAGCCTGAACTTCAGGTATACTGTTTTCACTGAAAGAGTTAAGGCAAAAATTATACAGTCTATATTGAAGGACTACTTTGTACTTGTTATGACTAGTGTTACCACAGAATAGTAAAATAGTAGAGTTCATATTTCTTACCTTAAGGTAGCAGTGTGCATAGCAGTTATGAAGCAGGTTGTCAGAAGGCTGGCTAAGGCTACTGACTGTGTGTACCAATTGTTCAGCATACATAGGCATAGAATATTCCAAATTAATTTTATCTACAAGTATCTGAATAGAAGGCAAAGGCCGTAATGGCAGAAAGTTTGTGGCATTCATGAAGCTACTGGAGTTCTAAAAAAAAAAAAGAGTATATACAGTTCAATTTATATTTCAGAACTACAGTAGCTAGTCAATCAACAAACATTTATTAAGTGCCTATTATATACTAGGCACTGTGCTAAGTAAGCAGTGGGAATATTTAAAAAAAAAAAGTAAATATGGTCCTTGCCCTCAAGGAGCTCACAATCTAATTTTCAGGAATCAATGTATCAAAGGAAAGATTCAGATGGCTTCAATTTATAGCAGTATCAATAAATCAAGGCAGTGTGGTATAGTCAAAAGCATACTGGACTTAACATCAGATGATTTGGGTTTTAGTCTCGGTTCTCCTTTGTTGTTGAGTCATTTTCAGTTGAATCTAACTCTCTGTGACGCCACTTGGGATTTTTTTAGCAAAGACAATGGAATGGTTTGCCATTTCCTTCTCCAGTTCATTTTACAGACGAGGAAACTAAAGCAAGCAGGGTTAAGTGACTTGCCTAGGGTCACACAGCTAGGAAGTATCTGAGACCAGAACTGAACTGAGGAAGCTGAGTCTTTCTGACTCCAAGTCAGGCACTCTATCCATTGCACCACCAAGTTGCGCCTGGCTTTCCTACTGTATATCTCAAAATGGTGGTAGAGGTGGCAAAATTTTATTTTTATTCTCATTTTAGAGATGAGGAAATCAAGACTCAGGGCAACTACATATCAAAAAACAAGTCACTTAATTGCCCTGAGTCTTGATTTCCTCATCTCTAAAATGAGGATAATATTACAATTCTATCACCTCTTAGAGGGTACAGAAATTCCTTTATACACTGTAGAATACTATATTAGAACCATTACAGAAGAAGCATAGCCTTTGGTCAGTATGAGAGAGTACTTTAGAGTGAAGGAGTCAAACTCACTGTAACAGGCCCTACTAAGTATAGCCTGAACCAGATTAAAATGTAACTGGGAAAAGTTTAATAAAATAAATAAAAATAAAATACAACATAGATGATAGTAATTTGCAGTTTTCTAAGTCAATATGTTGACAGGGATCCATTTTCATTTGAGTTTGACACCACTGCTTTAAAGGATTCCAAGTCACCATAAACTGATCTCAAGAAGTACAAATTAAGTATCAATGAGTTCCCCGTGAGAAATACCTGAACCAATCTGACTCCAAAGAAATAACTTATCCTGAGCCTTCACACAATTCAATTTTCTGGAATGGCTCTGGTTGCCTTCACTACTGGGTAGCCCTCTCAGGATCTGAGCCAGGAAGAAAGCCATGAAGGTGGCAAATGATTCCCAAAACACTTTGAAAAACACACCAGGAAATCTGGCAGCCCCTGACCAACAATTCAATGAGGATTCACAAAGAACAGCAATTTGAATGAAGCCAAATACTAAAATTATTATAAGTGATGGCGACACTGAGAATTACAATAATTATGTAAATGCAAATGAAACCTGATCATTTCATATTGTAATAAAGATCAGAGCAGTCATTTTCATTAATGTTTCTATAGATTTGTGAAGAGATAAATGAATTAAGGGACACTGGTAGATTTGCCCAGATATTGTCCCTCCTGAGCAGTACCAAGTAGGCCAGAAAACTTGGGATACCAAAGGTTTAACAATCTACTCCAGGAGCTCCAGGACTGGACCTGCCACCTATTACCCAAGTGCTTAAATTGACCTTAAAGAGGTCCTGCTTAGTAAAGATACACAAACTAGTTACACGTCTAGTTTCACATCAATAGCTAAACAGATTGAAAAAAGAAAGCTAATCAACAAGGAGGGAAGATGAATGAGCTGAAGGAAAGGAAAGCTCCTCACTAGCAAAAGAAGACCCTAGAAAAAGTTCCATGCTCATTTTAGCTACACACAGAAACTTTTCCCCACAGAAAAAAAGGCTCATGACTGTGGAACATTTTGTTATAGTAGGGCTCTTCTTTGACCAAAAATAGTCTGCTGACATGGTTCAGGAATTTCTATATGGTTATCCATGATGTGAAAACAATTTATGCCTCTCTTTTTGTCCTGATGGAAATGACTGAAAATCTAGAAACCTCTTTGAGGATGGAAAGTTCTCATTGAAACAGAGCAAAACCATGACAGCTGGTTTACAAGTGTAAAGCAGAGAGGTGAAGACCCTCTAGAGGTCCAGGTTTTTAAAGATAATTTCAGAATGGTATAAAGGTCAAATGCAATAGATGTGTGTGTGTGTCTGTATGTGTGTGTGTGTGTGTACGTGTGTGTGTGTATGTATGTGATGTGTGTGTAAATGCTCAAGTCTTAAAGTATCTTGAAAGATATCAAATTTGTTACAAACAATGAAACAGTACAATATACAATGCTATTTTAATCTTCTCTTTAATTCTTTCATCTCCATCAAAATTTTCTGAAAATTATTACTTATCCAATGATATGATACCTAATAAGTTCTTCCAGAATAGTAGATAGAAGAGAGCACACAATGTAGCATAAATCATGATATGACTGTATTAGTTCACAATTCCTGTCATTTTTGGGGGGTAATTTCTTGTGTAAAAGATCACAACTGTATTAGTAACTTATTAAAGAAGCTACATAGATACTCATTCAGTTATAATGTTATACCTATATAGTATAAAATGTTATATTTGAAACATAAAACAAATATCATACACATAGGAAAAGATAAGTTGTAAATATTGTCATACCTTTTCGCCCATAATAACAGGAAGCAAATGACCTAATAAGTTGAATTCAGCCATGAAGATTGTAACAGTACATTTAAGAATAGTAACACAAGTGAGTCGAGTAGGAATATATTCTTCCAGAGATGCTACCTCTTCAGTGTTTGGTATGGTTCTATTTTCATCCACAACATCTATAATAAATTATGATGAAAATTTAGCCAAGAAAACAAAATAGAAGGGGGAAAATTCCCTTCAATTATGTTCTTAAAAAAAGAGAATAAATTTTCTTCTATAACTGTGGCAGTATTTTTTATTTCTAAAAGTTTTTTTTCCCAAATCTATTTATACAAGGTATCCATCAAGACTTAAAATTGTTTTTCTTTTAATAAATACCAATTATACAATAAAAACTAAACTACTTAGATCCAGACTAATTTTCACTAAGCTGAACTCATTCTTTTTGTATTAAGGTTTTACACTCTCATTTTTCACTAACTAGGCTCCTTTCCAGCTGCCCACAAACAAGACCAAGTCTCCCATATCCTTGATAAAAAAAATTTTTAAATCACTAAACTCTACCACATTCCCTTCCCATTTCATCCTTTCTCTGCCAAACTCTTAGAAAAAGTTTCCTCTTCCTTCTGTCCCCATTTTCTCTTCTCTTGCTTACTTCCTGACCCTGAATAATGTGGTTTCCAACCACTGAAACTGCCCTCTTCAAAGTTACCAGTAATATCTTAATTTAAAAATCTGGTGGCCTTTTCTCTACTTTCATCCTTCTTGAAAGAGCAACTAGTTGGTGCAGGGGACACAGTGCTGGGCCTGGAGTCAGGAAGACTCATCTTCCTGAGTTCAAATCTAACCTCAAAAACTTACTAGCTGTGTGACCTTGGACAGGCCACTTAATCCTGTTTGCCTCAGTTTCCTCATTTGTAAAAACTACTCCAGTATCTTTGCCAAGAAAATCCCAAATTAGATTATGAAGAGTCAGACACAAATGAAAATGATTCAATAATAATAACATCCTTCTTGAGCTCTGCTCAGTACAGAACAGTGCGGAATACCCTCTCCTCCCTGAAGCTCACTCATCCTTGGGTTTCTGTGATGTTGCTCTTTCTACATCTTCTTTGCTAGATATTCATATATACCAGGTCCCCTAAATATAGGCATGTTCTACAATTCTCCCTCCTGGAATATCTTCTCTCTTTACACTCTCTCTTAGTGACTTCATCAACTCAAATGAGATTATTATCTCTTTGCTATTGACTATTATATATACAATTCCAGCCCTAACTTATCTTCTAAACTTCAGTTCCACATAACTAACCATTTAATGGACATTCCAAACTGGATGTCCTAAAGGCATCTCAAACTCAGTATGTCCAAACAAAATTCATTATCACTCTCCTCCACATCTACCTATTTTCTAAACTTTCCTATTTGCTGAGAGCACCACCAATTTTCCAATCAGGTTCACAACTGCAATGCAATCCTCAACTCATCACTCGTGCTCATCTCACATATCTAAACAGATGCTAAGTTTCCATCATTTCTATATCAATTACAGCTCCTTCATATATCCTCTTTTCTCCCCACACACCAGCTTAGTTCATATCCTCATCATTTTCAAGGACTATTGCAACAGCTTTCTAATTGGTCTCCCTGTCTCAAATCTCTCCCCACTCTACTACATCCTCCATAAGAGTGCTTTTCTTTAACTCCAAATCTGACCGTGTCATCCCCTCTAATCAATAAACTCTAGTGGTTCAATATTACCTATAGGAGCAAATACAAACTTATTCATTTGACATACAAAACTCTTTTCAACATGGTCCTATTGAATTTTGCCAGATTAACTACATGTTACTCCTTTGCACACATTCTAAGGTCTCATCACACAGGTTATGTTGCTTTTCCTCATACATGGCACTTCTATCCAGATTATTGTGAGATTCAAATGAGATAATGGATATAAAGCACTCTGTAAACCCTGAAGTACAATATAAATGTGAGTTATTGCTATTATGATTAAATTATTATTATTGTTATTACTACTACTACTATTATTACTACTACTACTACTACTCCTACTACCAGTACTACTCCTACTCCTACTACTACTACTACTATTAGCCTTCAGTTACCAACTCTCCACTCAGGTTATGACTCCATTCCTTCAGCTTTCTACTATACCCTTTTTTGAGCTCAAACAATATTTACAGAGCAATAATACAATGTATTATTGCTGCTATATAGTTAACAACAGGGCTATCAAAAGTGAAAAAAGCAGTATAAGAACACATTTTTAAGTTTAATCTGCAATTATTGACACTTTTTTTTAAAAATGTTTGAGCCTTGATTTGTAGCAATTGACAATTTCTGAGGTGTAAATGCTCACACTGAAAATTTAATGGCTCTCACAGCATGTTAAAACTGACGCCAACACATCCCCATTCCTATGTACCAAATCTATACTATTTCTCATACCTGTAATGCTCTCCCTCCACACCTATGCTTTCTGGAATCCCTTAGTTTCCTTCAAGATTCAACTCAAGAACCATATTTTGCATGAGACATTTTATGGTTCTGTTCAGTTGCTTATGTTGTATTTTGTACATACATACATGCATGCATGTTGTCTCCCCTATTAGAATGCAAACTCCAAGAGGTTTTTTTCTTTATATTTCCAGCACCCAGAAGAATGCCTGGCATGCAGAGGATGATTAACGAATGCTTGTTAATCAGTTAACTTAGACGTCTTCTCTCGAAGAGTGGGATATCTAAGTCAAAGGTTATAGAATTTTTAGCCCTTATTAAGAATAAATCCAAAATTCTTTCCAGAATTCTAGAACCAATTCACTGATCACCAACAGTGTATTAGTATGTCTAACACAGATCTTCTAATACTTATTATTCCCATCTTCTGTCATCTGTGAAAATTTGTTGTATCTGAGTGACTTCAATTTATATTTCTTTCATTATTAGTGACTTAGTACAATGTTTTCATATGGCTAAGTTTGCAGGGTTTTTTGAGAATTGTTTCTTCATATCTTTTGCAAATGGCACCTGCGTAGCTGCTACTGTCAGTGCCAAAGTAGCAGCTAGCTTACAACTGAGCCAACGTCCAGTTCAGAAGGTGGAGATGGAAGCTTATACTGTGGAGGAAAGGGTCAGAGTAGGAAATTATTGGGGAATAAGGGGAGACATGGTGTGCTGAAGGCAAATTCCATGACTGACCAGTGTGGAAAATATGGGATATGACTGATCTTCCCAACTCCTAATTGATGAAAACCTCTTGGTTTGAGGTCATAACTGCCCACTCTGGAGACCACTGATTTGGAGAATAACTATACATTAAAGTGAATCCAGGATAAGTACAAAAAAAAAATGCAGTCATTGTTTTAGGGAGCATAAACAGTGAGGGGACTCTGAAAAGGCAACTTAGAGGAAGTGGCACTTGAACTGAAACTTGACAGAAACTAGGGGTTCCAAGACACAGAGACGAGAAGCATTTTAAGAATGATGGAAGTGGAACCAGCATGTGCAGAAGTGGGAAATGGAATCACCGAAAAGAAGAAAAATGTGTTTTGTTGTTCTGAATGATGCTATGCATATCTGCCCTCACACAACACCATGCAGGAACAAATAATGAGTTTATTCTACCCAAATATTACATTACGCTCATGTTGACAAATTATCCATGATCTTCTTATTCTGTACAAGGAGAATGTAAATGGTCACACCTTAACAGGATCACAGTGATGACAGGCTCAAAGTATTAAATGGCTGTTCTGCCTTATCTCTCATTAGAAATATATTTAAAAGATTTATTATCTTTTCACCATATAAAGCATATTGGAATATGCTTTAAAACTTACTAATTCTCTACATCATAAATTCATGTCCCTAAAAACTTAGCCTAGCAGGAAATTTCCATCAACCACAAGGACACAGAGGGCCTAGAAGTCATGAGAACAGTTTTCATATATGACTTAAATAAAAAGGCCCTTACTTTAGGATAAGATAACATGCAGTTTACACTCTGTTTTATTTACTACATTAATTACCTCCATTTAAACATCTGTCCCATAACTTCAAAGCAAATACTACTCCTAGGAATAAAGATCATTCCACATCTAAAAAGGCACAGCATATAAACAAAAAAGTGCAGTAACAGAAAAAGAGATAAAATACATTTAAACATTAATATAATTTAATCAGTAATTGAATGAACATCAAGTCAACAACTTACCTGGTTTTATCCTACTATAAGGTTCATATTCATGTTCCAAGGCACAAACAATCATTTTCAAAATCCTGTGTACTGCACTGCTATCCAAGCGAAGATCAAGAGGACCTACAACAAGACTTTTGGTAGACTTCTCCTGAATATTCCCCAAATCTTCACTTTTTGCTGAAGGGAGGTCTTGTTGATTTCCAGGTGCTAGTTAAATACACATATATATTTCATAATTAACATAAATATTAATGTACATTATTAGGCACATACTTTAAAATTTCTTAATTCTCATGATCAAAGAAAGGTCTATTCAAACATCATTTGGAATAATCTAATATCACATTTCAATCTTTATTTTTATCAATTAAATACATTACTGTGAATGGAACCAAACTGACGTCTCTCCCCAATAAGCTACACAAATAACGACATGGAAGTGAAGCTTCTTCACACTAAATTTCCCAGTATTATCTAAAAAATATAAACGCTAGCAAACTCAAGTTTTATATCTGTACCTAAAAGCATGTACAGAAATACAATTATACAATTTCAAACCGATGAAATGAAGTGAAACTTCACCTCATTTCCATGAGTTCAATAGCCATAAAAGCAACTACAGACATATTTGATACACATACTTTCAACAAGATCATCTAGTACAATAAAAGTAGCAAGATGGTGTCTTCAAACCATAAGCCAGTGACTGACTTCAACTCTTGGCAAAACTCTAGAAGGTATCAAAGAAACAGTCAATAAACATGGATTAAACACTTACTATATGCCAGGCACTATGCCAGGAACTCGATACAAAGCTTACAATCTAATGGGAAAAGACAAAATGCAAAAAGCTGAAAAGGAAGGGAGGGATGGATGGGAAGAGAAAGAGGAAAAGTTATCTGAGCCAATCAGAGAAGTTCCAAAGTAGCACAGCAAGGTGAGAAATGAGGTGATGTTTGAGCTAAGCTCTCCTTAAATGGAGGTTTAGAGTTCATGGCCCCACCCTCCAATCAGACAAGCAAAAGTAGTTACCAGGTAGTGAGATCTCATAGAGAAAATGACAAGAGACAATTTGTAAACACTTGGAAAGCAAAGCAATGATCACTAAGAGGGAGCGTGGTTTCACTAAGGACAAGTCATTTCAGATTAGCTTCACTTCCTTTTTTGGTGGATCAGGTAAATTCTATGCATGTGTTCTACCTGGACTTCAGCAAAGAATTAGCCTAAGTTTCTTGTGGGATTCTTCTGAAAAGGTGGGGAAAAAGATTAAAATTACCAAAGACATCAGAAGAATGACTCACAGACCTTGAACACAAGTGGATAAAACTACAGGGAAAACATCAAGGGCAGAAGGAAATATGGCCTCCAGATCTAATAGTTCAGGCATCTATGAATAAATACTGCAAAACAAAGAAAAATGATCCAACTCTTCATAACACAAAGGACTCTGGATTTTGAGGAAAACATGGAACCACAACATGCTATTCCACAGTGGTTTAAAAGAAAAATGAGAATTATGAGAGCAAAATTTACAGTCGAGAAAACAAAAATAAAGAGAACACAAAAACTTGAATGTGTGATGCTAAGTCTCTCCAAAGTAACAAAAGCGAGAACAACAAAGTGAGAAGGCAAATATACATAAATGATGGACAATCGAGAGGAAGGGAAGTTAAAAAAAAATAATAATAATAATAGTAAAAGTAAAAGTAAATACGCTCACTCTTTTGTGGTTGCTAAGAACTGGAAATCAAAGGGATATCCATCAACTGGGGAATGGGTAAAAAAGCTATGTTATATGATTGTAATGGAATATTATTGTGCTATAACAAATGACGAACAGGATCATTTCAAAAAAAAACCTGGAAAGACTTACACAAACTGATGCATATGGAAGTGAACAGAACCAGGAGAACACTGCACACAGCAAAAGCAATACTGTTCAATGAAAAACTGTGAATGACTTAGTTATTCTCAGGAATACAGTGATCCATGACAATTCCAAACGACTAATAATGATGAAGCATACGATCCACCTCCAGAGAATTAATAAATTGAATATAGACCAAAGCATGCTATTTTTCACTTTCTTTCTTTCATATTTTTTCTTTTATTCAAGTTTTCTTGTACAAAATTACTAATATGGAAATATTTTACATAATTGCATGTATATAACCTAAATTCGATTGCTTACCATCTCAGAGAGAGAAAAGGGGAGGAATAGAATTTGGAACTCAAAACTTTAAATAAAAATGTTAAGAAGTTAAAAAAAAAAAGTAAATATGCTCACTATGAAAGCAAAACACACTGATCTCAAAGACAGGATTCATAGAGACAACCTAAGGATCATAGATTCCCCCAAAGGAACATGATGACAAAAAAACTGAACACCATAAAGCACAAAACAATACAAGAGAACTGCCCAAAACCTCTAAATACAGAAAATTAAATTCCAATTAAAGGAATTCATAAGACTGCCTCCCCTCAAAAAAAAAATCAAAGGCTACAAAGACTCATAGTAGTTAAATTTAACAATTCAACTCTGAAATAATAAGTTTTGCAATGGATCAAGAGAAAGACCATCAAATACAAAGGAAAGGAAATTTAAATAACATTTGCAGATAACAAAAAGTCAAAAGGCATAGCTAACTCAATAGATAAGAGAAACTGGACTAAAAATATCTCAACAGACGAACATAGGGACTATTAATTAATCTATTAAGAACTTTTTATCTAATATGAAGTCTAATTTTATACAAAGAAAGTTAATAAGATGAATGTAAAGTCTTATACTTATGTTCAAAACCATCATTTTCACAAAACCAATATCAGGAAGGCAGGACTACAACATAGTTATCTGAGGCTTAATATAAGTCAAGAAAAGTAACAGAGCAATCAAGAAAGCTAATGCAATGTTAAACTACACGTAGTAAAGTGTAGTGCCAGGGCTAAAGAGGTGATACCAAAGCTAAATTGTGTTCTGGTCACACCAATCTAGAGTAGAGTATTCAGTTATGGATCTAACATTTTAGAAAGGATAATAACAAGATCTAATGTGTCTAGAAAAGGGAGATTAAGACTGTAAGTTGGTTCAATATAACGCAATATGAGTATAAGTTAAAGAATAATCACTAATCGCAATATCACCAATCACAATAATCACAAATAATCACTAATGTGAAAACACGTTTAATAGGAATGTATATGTATAACCTATATCAGATTGTTTGTGCCATCTTGGGGAAGGAAGTGGGGAGGGAGGGGGGAAAAATTTAAAATTCAAAAGATTATGGAAGTGATTGTTGATAAATCAAAATAAATTAATTAAAAAAAAAGACTTAGCTCAAAAAAAAAAAAAAAAGCAAATATTTAGCCTAAAAAAAATTGGGGGAAGGGAAGTTAACTATGTGAAGGGCTATCACATAGAAAAGCGATTAGACGTGTTCTCCTTGACACCAGAAGACAGAACTAGAAGCCACTGGTTGAAGTTGCAAGGTGCAAGTTTATTCTTGAGATAAAGAAATACTTTCTACCAATAATAGCTACCATAAAATGGACCTGGTTCCTTTGGTAAATAATGGGTACCCCCTTAACTACATATTTTTAATACTAATTTTTTAATTTTCGGTTCCAAATTCTCTCCTTCCCTTCAGCCCTTTCCCCATCCATTGAGAAGGTGAGCAATGTGATATCCATTAAATATGTAAAGTCATGCAAAACATATTTCCATATTAGTCATTCTGCAGAAAAAAAGCAAGAAAAAAATTTAAAATGAAAAAATATGCTTCAATCTGCACTCAAAGTTCATCAGTTCTCTTTCTGGATGTGGGCAGTATTTTTCATCCCAAGTCCTTTGGAAATGTTGTGGATCACTATATTGATCAGAATATCTTTCACAGCTGATCAACATTACAACATAACTGTTACTGTATACAATGTTTTGGTGCAGCTCACTTTACTTTGCATCATCCATATTAGTCTTCTCAGGTTTTTCTAAAATCATTCCCTTCATCTTCTTACAGCAGAATAGTATTCCATCACAATCATATACCACAATTCATTAAATCATTTCTCAATTGATGGGCATCCTCTCAACTTCCAATTCTTTTTTTTTTTTTTACAATCACTTCCATAAGCTTTGGAGCTTTAAATTTTTCTCCCCCTCCCTCCCCACTTCCCTCCCCTAGACAGCAAGCAATCTGATATAGGCTATACATATACATTCCTGTTAAACATATTTTCACATTAGTCATGCTGTAAGGAAGAATTAGAATCAACAGGAGGAACCACAAGAAAGACAAAACAAAACAAAACTGAAGAAAAAAATACAGCAAATAGTATGCTTCAATCTGCATTCAAACTCCATAGTTCTTTGGATATGGATAGCATTTTCCATCATGTGACTTTTGGGGATGTCTTAGATCCAGATGTCTTAGATCCTTGCATTGCTGAGAAGAACTAAGTCTATCAAAGTTAGGCATCACACAACATGGCTGTTACCGTGTACAACATTCTCCTGGTTCTGCTCACTTAACTCAGCATCAGACCATACAAGTGTTTCCAGGTTTTTCTGAAGTCAGCCTGTTCATCATTTCTTATAGCATAACAGTATTCCATTACATTCATATACCACAACTTGTTCAGCCATTCCCCAACTGATGGGCATCCCCTCAATTTCCAATTCTTGGTCACCACAAAAAAGAACTGCTATAAATATTTTTGGACATGTGGGTCCTTTTCCTATTTTTATGATCTCTTTGGGATACAGCCCTAGAACTGCTATTGCTGGGTCAAAGGATATGCACATTTGTATAGCCCTTTGGGCATAGTTCCGAATTGCTCTCCAAAATGGTTGGATCATGTCACAACTCCACCAACAATGTATTAGTGTTCCAATTTTCCAACATCTTCTCCAACATTTATCATTATCCTATTTTGTCATGTTAGCAGACCATGTCCCAGCAAGCCAGTGGGAGGCAGTACCAGTACAGGTCAGTGACCACAGCTCTGGGGCAAGAGCAGACCAATGACATTCCCTCCCCTTACCCCTGCACTCCTGGTGCAAAACCAGGCCCCCGTGGGCCTAGCACACCTGCAAGTGAGTGTCCAGGAACCCTGAGGCTCCGGTGCAGAACCAGGCCACCACACGGACTCTGATGCAACACCAAGCAAGTAGCCAGGCGCATAACCAGCTCCACTTCTTGTCCCTC